GCAAACACAGTAATATGAACACCTAAGATCCATGAACCTAGCATACAACAAAAACACAGCGGGACACAAAATGATCACCACTCAAGCACAATGCAGTTTTGCTGCAATGTATTTCAAAGATAATACACATGCCCTCCAAAGTCATTTTCCCCACTGTCTTCTTATTTCAGATCAGTAGGTCCTGCATGTAATTTCAGTTATGTAGGAAGTCACATCATATATACACTTCTCCCCTTAATTGCAAGGGTCTGAATAGCACAGTTTTTGTCATACACTGATTGTTTAAATAAATAAATAAATAAATGAATAAATGAATAAATAAATAAATAAATAAATAAACACACTGCAACTTTGGTGTCTCTCGGTGTCTTGGGGGCTCTTTTAGAGCCAAAAATCAATGAATCAAAAATCACTAAACATTCATTGATTCATATTTGTTGGGAGCACTGATTCGTATGAATACGAATTAATGAATTTGTGATTTTTGAACAAATTTGGTGATTCGTTTTTTTAATTCGTGGGTATCCCTATGTATGACTTCTGACCACTTAAACATTCTCTGCCACTGAACAGCACCATCTCCCTGCTTTGTTCCACAGCTCCTCTTCTAGAAAGAACAGTGCCGATTTCCTGCTGGCTGACTCATTGTTTATTCATTCCCGTTTGTGTGAAGGAGATGGTTAAAACACCATCCTCCCCATTCAGGCACAGCGGAGGAATTTATACTTTCCTTTTTTAACACAGGTGTACATGAATATTCAAAGGCGACGCTGGGGAGAACAAGCGGTTGAAGTCTGTTTCTTTGGAGGAGGACGGTAAAGTAGCTAAAAATTAGCTGTTGCTGACGGATCTGTTTTAGCAGTCTAATACCATTGCCCGATAATGTCAGCAATCAGAATTGAGGGGCAGAGTTACAAAGTGTGTGTGTTCTTTTTTTTTTTAAAGGAGGTATTCCTACTTCTTAAGGCACATGCCACAAAACAGGTGTGGAATAATCGTGTATTACTTACAGAAGCAAACACAGTAATATGAACACCTAAGAGCCATGAACCTAGCATACAACAAAAACCACAGTGGGACACAAAATGATCACCGCTCAAGCACAATGCAGTTTTGCTGCAATGTATTTCAAAGATAATACACATGCCCTCCAAAGTCATTTTCCCCACTGTCTTCTTATTTCAGATCAGTAGGTCCTGCATGTAATTTCAGTTATGTAGGAAGTCACATCATATATACACTTCTCCCCTTAATTGCAAGGGTCTGAATACCACAGTTTTTGTCATACACTGGTTGTTTAAATAAATAAACAAACAAACACACGCACACACACACACACACACACACACACACAAACAGTGCCTCTGGCCAGAAACCCATGGGTTCAATACTTGAAGGCATTAAAATCATCTACCTGACCCAAACACAAGATCTCTAATTCAATCTCTAGATCATACGGACCTTTAAGACTCATTACACACGGTACTTTATGGAAACCATTGTCAACACTATGGAAGAGAAATCCAATAGAGAGAACTGGGTTTTTTTTTCTCTCTCTCTCTGTGAATCAACTGTTTTTGCTTTGTAGGTATGTTTTTGGGGGGCATATGAGCTATATAAGGATTTTGAACTACATGTGGGTCCAACGTCCTGAACCCCCATGTTGTTGAAGGGAGAAGTATAATTTTCATACACAGATTTCACTTCAGTGTACAGAAAAAGTCCAATAAGTACAAACACAAACCAATACATGAAATTCACTTGGGATGATTTTTCCAATAGGATAGTTAAATTTCAACTTCTCACTGTATATTCATGCAACGAAAGACCCTTGTTTGAATCCCCTTCCTGGTTTGTACTTTTGAATTAACATGTTGGTTTTTATTTCACAATTACTTCTTCACAATTCTGAATGTTCAGAGTGAGACAGAGAGTGAGCAAGTCATCAGACTCCTCCATTCTTTGTCACTCCAGCAGAAGTGTATTTACTGGGTAAGAAGGCAAAACGTAACGCCCTATAATCACCATCTGCTAGCGATGCTTTTAAAACATCCATCTGGAAAATACAGCATTGCTCAGTCTGGTGTTTGATGAAACAGGGTAAGTAGGGAATTGACCCATCCCTAATTGCCCCTCTTTCTTAAGGACTCACTTGGGATTTCTTTAAAAGCACCATTGTTGTTTAGTCGTTAAGTCGTGACCAACTCTTCGTGACCTCATGGACCAGGGCATGCCAGGCCCTCCTGTCTTCCACTGCCTCCCAGAGTATGGTCAAAGTCATGTCGCTAGCTTTGATGACACTGTCCAACCATCTCATCCTCTGTCGTCCCCTTCTCCTCTTGCCTTCACACTTTCCTAACATCAGGGTCTTTTCCAGGGAGTCTTCTCTTCTCATGAGATGGCCAAGGTATTGGAGCCTCAGCTTCAGGATCTGTCCTTCCAGTGAGCACTCAGGGTTGATTTCCTTCAAAATGGATAGGTTTGTTCTCATTGCAGTCTGGAGGAAAGCACCACCAAACACCAAAGAAGGCAATGCATCTTACTAGCAATGACCGTTCTAGAAAAATAGATCTAGGAATATGTGCAAATGATAGGTTTGTTCTCACTGCAGTCCAGGGGAAAGCACCACCAAACACCAAAGAAGCCAATGCATCTTACTAGCAATGACTGTTCTAGAAAAATAGATCTAGGAATGTGTGCAAATTAATTGCAACCAATGTCAAATTCGTAATTGCCTAATCTTTCATGTAGACTCTTTGAGTGCTAAAAAGAAGTGAATTTATCACCTTTATTTGCATGTGACACACAAAGGAATCACAATCCACAAACTCTCAACACTAGATGTGTTCAATGGATGGAGACAGCCAGTTTCAACATTGCCTACCTTGGTTTCTCTTTTATCCATCTATAATGGGAATCTTAAAAGCTCAGTAGTTTAGGTAGCTGGCTGTGAAGCCCAAACTTGGGAGTTTGAATCCCCACTATGTCTCAGGGAGAAAAGCCACCCTGCGTGGTATTGGGCAAGCTGCACAGGCTCATGGTGCCCCCAGAAGAAAGTAGTGATAAACCACTTCTGAGTATTCCCTATTGAGAAAACCACAGAAAATGTCACTTTAAGTTACAATTTTCCTGACCGCATAAAATTATTATTAGAAATTGTCACAACTGATAGTTTGCATAGCTGCACAGTATTATTAGAAATTGTCACAACTGATAGTTGGCATAGCTTCACAGATACAAAAACCGCAGAAGCCTCTGTGCTGCAGTGTCAGAAGACCTGTAGTCGTAAGATCGAATCCACGTGACAGTCGCTTGTCCCAGCTCCCGCCAACCTAGTGGTTCGAAAGCATGCAAAATGCCAAATGTGAGTAGATAAATATGAAGGTGGTGGTTCGAAAGCATGCAAAATGCCAAATGAGAGTAGATAAATATGAAGGTAACGGCATTCCATGTCTTATTGCGCTGGCTAGTCTCTCTCTCTCTCTCTCTCTCTCTCTCTCTCTCTCTCTCTGGTGAAGAGTTTCTATTTTCTCCAATATTTGAAAGTACTTCCTAATACTGTATCTAGAATGTTGTTTCTTTTGTAACTAAGTCAAACACAGCAGCAATGACATCCTTTTTGCCTTTTTCTCTTAGCAGCACAAATCAGCTGGCAATGTAACAAAACACAGTATTACAGTATTAAGAAGTATTTTACTTATAATTCCCTGAAATTTTCTCCCAAATTTTGTTTGAAGTTTCCATTTTAGAGTAAAAGACAAAGGAAGAAAATACCATTTACCAAGTTTTTTCATCTCACCCTGCCTGCTTCCATAATTTAGAGATAGGCATGACATACTACACTTTCAAGCCTTTACTGTACAGTTTACAGTCATATGAAGATGCAGTTGAAGGACGTTATGCTCATATATAACCTGCACTTTCAAGCCTTTACTGTACAGTTTACAGATGCAGTTGAAGGATGTTATGCTCATATATAACCTGTAGCAAGGCATCATCACTGTGAATAGTGTTGTGTAGTGCTATCACAGAAAGTATAGTGTACAAGTGTCTATGTTTGGAACAATTTAATTTTTATTTCCCCACTCCTTAACTGTATTAAGCAAGGAAAAGGCACACTATTTTAGATGATTTCTGGAAAAGATTTAACAAGTCTGCCCCACAACAAGCTATAAGCACATGCTTGCATAGGGGCCTTTGAAAATGGTATCTGAAGACAGAAAAAATTTGCAGGAACGTCAGAAGCAAAGAAGCACTCCTAGTATACTCTCAGGAGTATGCACAGTAATAATACGCATAATATATTATGGCTTCTTTCCAGTCTCCTATCTCCTCTGTGAATCAAAGCAATGCAAACCCGGAAACTGTGGGAAAAGCAAACAAACTAACAAGACAATCTAGTCATGGCAAATAAAACTAATCTAAAAAATAATATCACAGGCTTGATATGATAACAACAATAAGGTGCTGTCAAGTTGATTTTGACTTATGGTGACCCTCCGCCAGAGCTTTCTAGGTATAAAGTACTAAGGAGGTGGTCTACCACAGTGTCCCTCCTGGTGATGCTTGCCTTGAATGATAAAAAAAAATATCTAACCAACACCGAGCCAACTCAGCTATCTTCCTGTGCATGCACCAATGACCCCTGTGCCCATCTTCTGCTATGCTTACTACACCACAGGAAGATTGATGCTACTAAAAGACAAATTCTGCTCTCATTGAACTGCCTTCCCGAGACTACAACCTATATACATGATTTTTTTTTAACCTCTCGAAGTCAACAATTAAAAAAATGAACAAGAACTCATACTAAACACCTTATTTCCAACTCTCTCCAGAGATCTGTACTCATTGCCACAAGGGTATTTTCAGTCATTCAGAATCCCACAGTAGAAGGCCATTGCTGGCTCATATCTTTGGTCATCATTCACTTAATGGAACTGCTCAAGTGATGATGCCTGATAGCCTTGGAGCCACAACTAATTTTTCTTAACACATACCTTGGTTCGGTAAGATCAGCAGAAACTTGAGCAGTCTCATGTTCATCAGAAAGAACAGTAGTTAGTGGCTGTTCAGATGTAGCCACATCTGGTGCCTGTTTGACGATATCCACAGAGAGAGAGGAGCTGCATTTAAAAAACAAAAAGGTACGGGAAAATATTAAGAAATTATTTTGTAACTCGTCTTTGAGGAGTACCTACTCAAAACTAGCAACTATGGCTCAAGACAATTATAAAATAATAATCATGTGCTATCAAGTCAGTTCTGACTCAGGGTTTTCCAGGTAAAGAATACTCAGAAGTGGTATACCATTCCCTTCCTCTGAGGACATCCTAGGACCTGTACAGCTTGCCCAAGGCCAGACAGGCTGTCTATACTCACAGAAGGCACAGTGGGGAATCAAACTGTCAGTCTCTGGCTCTGCAGCCAGACACTGACACCACTAAGCTATCCAGCCAGCTATATATCAAGACAATTGGTGCTAGTAATAATTTTAAAATTGCTGCAGAGATTTCTTCTTCAAACTTCTGAACCTATGTTGCCAGCTGTGGGCTAAGGGGACATCAAAACTCCCACCACAGTCCCTGAAATCCATTTAAAAACACACAAACAGAAGATTATAACTTCTAAAGGAATGAGAGAATTATACTTCAGCAAGCCTAAGACAAAAGAAGTCTGACAAAAGCCCTGGTGACACATGCTGAGAAGCATGTCATAAGACTCAATGTGGCCTGCCTCTTAAATACCTTGAGGGTGATATCACAAAGACCTTAAGGGCTTCTTAGATGCTAATTCCTTCATAAATAAATAGAAGACTACTCAACAAGGAGCTTGTCATGACTTGGCCCTACCTCTTTTATCTCACGCCAGCTTATGAGGTAATTGGCCCAAAGAAGGCCTCACTGGCCCAAAGGAAAGATCCCTGTGGAAGAGTTGTGAACCAACATTTCTACACACTAAGTTCCCCAGAAATTCTAGGGACTTTCAAAGGCTGATTAAGGAAAAAAGTGACAGAAATTCAAGAATTTTAGTTTATTTGAAGTACAAAATAGCTGCCTAGAGTGGTCGTAAGACCAGATAGGCGGGATATAAATAAAATAAATAAAATTAAATAAAATTAACCAAAATTTTAAAACTTCTATGTCAATTTCCCGACAAATCTGAAGTCTGTTTCAGGTGTTCAGATTCACCCATGGGAGAACAGAAGAAATTATAATAGTTTTTAAACATGACTAAGAGCTTGATATAAGACATAACCAGTCATTCAGTATTTGAGTGGGCCAAATGCATGAAGGTGGAGACAAGTGTTGATTGCACTAGTTGTATTCAGTCACTTATCTGATTCTTTCAAACTCCCTTAGAGAGGAGCACCTAATCCTTCTCCCTCTTCGTTTTCTCCATGTGAAGAGTCATGTGTCCACCAAAGAGGGACCCCTGCTTATATGTAGATTCTCCATTCAAGCAGAAACCTGACTTCCCAGAGTTCTTGCTCACTTGGAGAGCCTACATGCAAGCAGAAACCTCTCCTCTGCAGAAAAATCATTCTCCATGGAAAGAAAGCAACAACAGAGAGGGGTGTGGCCAGGTGCTCTAAGCTTACTAGACAGAGTGAGGTAAGTGGCAACTAAGGAGGGATCCCATATTCTGTCCTGCATAGATAGACTTCACAGGTTGGTAGCTCTCTGCTCTTCAGACATGTCACTTTGGGTAAGCAAAACTGTGACAAAAGGAGTCGGGGTATCTGGCTCTCCTACCTTCTCCACTGAGTTCACCTGATCACTGAGCTACTGAAAAGGACTCTCACAAAGAAGTAAGTAAGTACGTAAGTAAGTGCTCTGTGCAAACACAATTCCTGTGTGGTGGTGGGGCAGTCTCAAAGTAGCTCCTGTGAATGAGAAAATTCCTAATTACCTTACACTTTCTTGGGAATACAGATAGGGGAAAACTGCATCCAAATTGTGCTTAAGGGTGTGTGTCTTACAGGGACTGAAACACTTGGATATGTTTCACAGTTTGTATGCCATCTGTTAGCAGCAAACAGTAACTGCATTCAAAAGATCCATGGGCTCAGCTTGCAAATCAAGCATTGTCAGGGGCAATGCTTTGATCAACAACCAAACACTCCTTTCTCATGTGCCACAGTTTTCAGGTATCTGGGTCAAGCTTGCACAGTACGTACAACTGAAGTTTGTTTTAAATATTTGGAGCAACTCAGTTGAGGGGGGGAGAAGAAATATGGCACTTTTTTAGTATTTGAGAAGTCATACAACAACAAAATAAAAGGACATGCCGAAGAAGTAACTGAACATGATAGATTTGACACAGTATTTAAGAGTCCCCAAAATTTCTGAATAAGAAGCACAATCACAGAGTTTATAACATATTACACTTCCCAAAGTAATTACAATTAATATTAATGTCATTAATCATTAATACAAAGCTGCCCATTCAGTGACTTCATTCATTTGTAAATTAAAAATACTCTCTCACTCACCAATGACACTCTTCCTTTTTTATCGTGTTTCTTTTTTTTACAACCATCAATCAAACAACTTAGCAACTGGGAAACTAAGAGGTTGTCTAAATTAAGAGACTTACATGTAGGCTTGAATTTCAAAATGATTCAACAATGAAGGAAACAACCAGGACAGACAAAATATACAAGATGCAATGGTAACAAATTATCCATGTTACTGATACTCTATACCAGAAATACGGAACTACTGTACATAGCAAGACCACAAATACCTTTTTCAATGCTGATCATTCACATCACTGAACCTTCAAAAGCAGTAGCTTCCAAAACATACAGTTTTAACAGACAATAAATACGGTGACACTGAAGGTATTAAGACAGATGTGGGGGTGGGGAGACTTAGGACAGGAAATTAATGAAGGGCAAAGAAATGAAGTCATTTGCTCAGATGCCTCAATAAATACAGTTTCATCAAAAATACAGGAGAATAAAATCAAGCATAGAGAGATGGCGTATGACACCAGTCAAATTCAGCTATATGCAGAGAAATATAACAAGGAACTGTTAGAGAAAATGTAATGGGTTGGGAACATACATACACATGTGATGGGAGTGCTAAGTGGTTACAAAGTTGTGCAAAGCTGAATGAATTACAGATCAGATCATATTGATATCCCCAATACTAGCACTGCTACCCATTTACCAAGGGAACAATGAAGACTTCCTTACTTTTTGATGGGTAGTTGTAAAATTAGAAATTGCCAATAACTGGAAGAGCGAAAAGCAAATCTCCCTTCAACAATAGAAAATACATGAGGACTATTGCATCGATGGAAAAACCAACAAACCAACTGAAGCAGAATACATATTTTATAATACATGGTTTAAATTTATTACTTATGCTAATCAGAATAAAGACTCTCTGTTTCCTCTGGAATCTCATGGGAGCCTGTGGAAAGAATGTGGTGGACTAGATGAAGTATGGATATCATTGTGAAAACTTAGTATGACCTGTTTATGTAAAGGCTATTACTATTTTTTTTTAAAAAAAATGAAAGAATACTATCTTACAATTTCTAATTGTTCACAGTCTCATGCAATTGTAAAATAATATATTTTGACCGGCATTGTTCTATGTTCGTTCACAAGGCTTATAAAAACCACTTTATGATCCACAGAGAAGTTCCATCTTTACATATCTATCTTTCATTGCTAACCATAATTTGTGAAAATCCTTGGAGAAAAACTTCTAAACATGGCCTGGTCTTCCCCACCATGCTGCTGAATGATGAATTGTCGCGATGATTCCTGCCTTCCCCCTCCACTTTCCTCACAAGAGAGCACTTTCTTGAGAGGAAAGTACTTTCCCCCTCCACTTTCTTTGGAAGAAAGTGGAGGGGGAAAGCAGGAATCACTTTGATAAATCGTGTTGATGATTCCTGCTTTTCCCTTCACTTTCTTGCAAAGAAATCAATCCTGGGTTAGAAAAGTGGGTGTGGGTGTCTTATACATGGAAAAATATGGTAAATATACTGAGACAGAACAGAGACTAACTTCTAATGATAATAGAGCAAGTTACTTCTGAAAACTCGAAGCTTAAAGAGGACAAGAATCTTCCAACTACAATATATTTTAGCACACATATCTGATATTTGGGTCCGGAACAGAAGCATTCTCAAACTTTTCCTTGGAAAATTAAAGCAGTCTTACAGAACTGAATGGAGCTTTGTAAGCCATAATGCCCAACCTCAGTTAAATACATAAAATCCTAAATTGGAACATTCCCCAAAAACAGCTCTCTGGCCCCTGCTTGAAAACTTCCAGTAATTCATCATACCTCTTGGTAATTGAGTCCAATGTAAAGCTAATTTAACTGTCAAGAACATTCTCTGTCAGTAATTCCCCAACAAGAAAGACATTAATGGTGGGCATGTTTCCCATGAACAACAGTTAGCCTACAGTTATGCATCTCTCCCCTCAATATACTGACACAGGAAATGTTGGTTATGTTCCAGGCTGTGTTCTCAGCTAACAAAAGATGGTGGGTAAGGCATGTAACATTTTGCTGTTTTAGCACTGTTTGCTTATCTTACTACTTGATTCCATTGTATTTTGAAGATTCCAGCACTGCAATATCATAAACTACTTAGGTGTCTTAAAAATGAACAATGGCAAAGAAATATCCTAATAGATTACACCAATAAATGTAAGGCTTAACAGGAAATATGTATGAACTGATTTTTCAAACTAGAAAATGCCCCAGAAATCACTGCAATGCTCATTATGGGATACACAAAACCTCCTCCACCAAGGAAAGGCTTTCCTGAAACTAGCCATCCTGAAAAAGATAACTTTTTAATTGAAATTCACACATGAGCCACGCAACACTGAAAAAAACAGGTATTACACAGACAAGCTATAATGAAATGATCTGTTTTCGATTAAGCAATGTTTCTTGATTCAGATAAAATGACAAAGTTCAGTCATGGAGAAAGAGAGAAAAGAAGCTTCCCAACTCTTGGATGCACAGGAGGGACAAAGGCTGATGGAGAGAGAGTAAGACTCTGTGGTTTGCTCACATTACAATAAGCTTGGCTTTTGAAGACTCAAAGCCATTACCTTTGGACAAACGTACAAAAATATACTGAA